ACCAGAAGACTAAGAGATGTACTTGTAGAGGAAAAATAATGTTGGAAATGTTTAAAGTCAGACACTCATCACTGGAACGTCTAGACTTACAGCTCTTATACGAAAGAAAATTTGACATCCACACTAAAATTGTACCTTGCCTTTAATGTCTTATAATGCTGAAAGAAAATTTTTTAAACAATGATAAGAAGAACTAACTTTATTCCTATTTTCAGATTTGCACAAAATATTATCATCTTTTGTTCTCTTTTGTAGAAAATTATTTGGTAATATTATTGTATTATGAAGAAGCAATCAAAGAATATTCAGCCACAAAATGTAAAAATACAGCAGGTAATTAGCTAAAACACGTTATACTATTCTTCTGGATTTTGGGGTTAGTATCCTTTGGCATTTTAAAATTTACAATTTGTCATGATTTCTTCTCCCGTTCTGAACAACTACATGCTTCTGTACTTAAATTTTGTACTTATAACTAGGTATCTTTTTAGAATTTTTTTTTAAGCTGTTGACAGACCTTTATTTTTTATTTATTGCGGTGCTGAGAATTGAACCCAGTGCCTCACACATGCCAGGCATGTGTGCTACTGCCGAGCCACAGCTTCAACCCTACTATGTATCTTTTTTAAGAAGAAGATCTCCCAAATTATAGACACTTCAGGTCTCAAAAAACCTAGACTTGCCCGTGTGTTCTCCAGTATTCCACTTTCTTCACAAAGAAGAACTGGTGGCCAATCTTCCCATTTGCAAATCAAAAGTCTTTGAACCTGCGGAGTCAACAAAACTCAAATGACCTTCTATTTTCCATAGAGCTCTCCTCCCTCACTTTTTGGGTGGGGTGGAAGGAGGAGGGGGGATACCAGCCTTTTAGCTGCTAAAGCTGCTTGCTTGATCCTTGCAATGACAAAAGATTTCCAACCTCTCAGGCTGGGACAGTCTCATCCATCAAACTGTGCTTGAACTGTTAGCACTGTCAGCTCCCTCTTTACAAATGACAATTCAAGGGTAGCTTCCCTTGCTCACTGAAAATCCCCCAGTCAAAAGAGCAAAACACTTAATCAGAAGGAGGGGGAGGAAGGCATATCTCTAGCAGCAAGAATTGGCCTCATCTACTTTCAGCCTCTTGAATTTATTTTTGCAAGTTTATGACAAAGGTCCTAAACAGAAGCTGTAGACTTGCTGGTACAGGAATTGGGGTGGAACTTGTGTCATTGGCCTTGGAAGGGAGTAGTTGCCATGCCAGGAATGGGAAGGTTACAACTTTGCCTGTAAGATGATGTCTGATAATAATAATAATAAACACATGCCCATATTTGTTCGTACATGTGTTATCTTTGCAAGATGGGTAGAAATGAACTGCTGGCTGGACGTCTCAGAAATAAAAGCTAGCCATTAAGCTTTGTCCACACTTGGTAACAAGGGAAATAAGCTATCTTTGGGGTTCATAAGGACTATTTAGATCAGAAAACAGTTCCATAATTTTTCGACCCTAAATATATGTGATGGACCTTTAGTGAGCATCATGTAACCCCTGGTATGATTTAAATTTTTCAAATATCTATATGATTTGAAAAGAAATTGGAGTGTACTTAGAAACTTGGGATTCCAGCCACTCAGAGGGTATCATTTTTATGAACATTCACAAAAATTTATCGTACTGACTGATTTATTTTTAATTGTGCACTTGTGCCTTCGCTACTATTTTGAAAACAAAGGTTTGCAAATCTGCTTCCCAAGTCTGTTTCTCATAAAGTTGATGCTATCTTATGGCAGTTGAGAGCCCCATGACAATATCCCTTAGCTTTATCTGTTGTGAAAAGAAAGAATCCTTTTGGATATGAACACGGGGAAAGTGTCCCAGTTGACCTTTTTTTAAGTCCTTTTTGCCTCACTTTCACTCTTAAATTATACAGGAAATTAAAAATGTACCTGTTGGCCACTTAAATTAATGAAAGTGCTTGTGTCTAATCCAGGAGCATAGCCTCTGTGTGCTCTAGATACATATATGAATGGGATTCTGGGGAAACACACCTGCCCTGCGTATCAGCATAAGCTGTGTAAATCAAGGATTGCTTTAAAATCCTCATGCCCAGAAACCACAGGTGACACTGTTGATGAAATGTGGAACATGGACAAGCTGTCCTTTGGCCTAGACATCAGCTACAAAACTGGCGGATTAAAAATAAACTCTCAATTCCTCTTTTTAAAGAAATCTACCAGTATTGAAGGGGGTCTCCTTGTCAGCTTGTCTTATGAATTTATTGTTTTCTTCAAAGCAATACCATTGTATAGGAGATCTTTGTTCCGTGGTTTTAAAAAATAATCTTACCTTACAACAGCCAGTTAATTGTACTAATTAACATCAATATTTCTTCAAAAGCAGCCTTTTCAGCTCTAGGTAATTTTATGCTCCCAGGAATATTTGGACACTATTGGAGATTATTTTTGATTGTGATATCCTGGTGTGGGGTGGGGTGGTACTACTGACATCTAGTGAACAGGACCAGGGATATTGCTAGACATTTTACATTGTATAGGACAGCCTCCCACAACAAAGAATTACCCAACCCAAAGTGTCACTAGTGCTTAGTTGGGAGAAACCCCTGCCTAAATGCTGCACACAAAGTAGAAAGGGTGAAGTCTTTTTGATTGTGACGTGTTGAGAAGTTTTACTGGCAACTGCAAATGCAGCCTTTGGCCATGAGTTCCCAGGTCTCTTGTGTCACTGTTAATCATGTCTACATCAGCTGGCTTCAGTAAAACAGCTTCTCATTGTTGAACCCTATTTTTATTTTGGTAGAGAGAGCAATGGGGTGGGTGGATAGCCTTAGTGCTGTTGGCTATCCTATCATGGGGTAATGTAGTTGTTATTTCATAAGAATTTGTCAGAAAAATCTAACAGAGCTTCAGGCAAGAAAATATGTGTATAATAATATATATTATTTATGTTATGATTGTAGCTATGTCTAATTGTGCAGTTCATTTTAACATACTTGTAAACTCACATGACATAGCTTCTTCATTTCAATCTCTAACACTATCTCCTTCTCTCTCTCCCTTCTCTGATCCCTTTCCCCTACTCTACTGGTCTTCCTTCTATTTAATTATTAGTTGGTATATTGCCATTATGTATAAAAGTGGAATGCATTGTGATATATCCACACATGCACGTGGTGAAATTTGGTCCACTTTATTCTCCAGTTCTCCCCCTTGGTCTCCTTTTCTCCCCAGTATTGGACTCCTGCTTCTATTCTAGTGTTCTCTCTTCCATTTTCACAAGATCCCCTTTGTATTATCCTTTTGTTCTCCATCTTCCACATATCACTCTTATCCTCTGTGCCTGCATCTTCATATTGTACCCTGCTCCATCTGCTCATGTGGAATTTCCCTCCTGCCTCTATTTTATAATGGACTCGTGGGATGGCATTTAGGGGCCTCCTGGATCATGCAGGATGATTTTCCCATGTCAAGATCCTTAATGTAATCACATTTGCAACACTCCCCCCTGCCCGCTGCCAAATAAGAGAACATTTACAGGTTCTAGTATTAGGAGATACTATATTTTATGGGGAGAGGTTGGAAATTTTTGTCCTATCACACACATGGAGAGATAAACTACTTGATTGCTTCATGGGCAATCCAGAATTAGGATTCTGTGACTTTTGAAAATTTGCTTCATCTTACCCTGAATCTTAGTTTTCTCATTTTCAAAATGAGCCTAATAATATTGTTTAGGCCATCAGATTATTAAGAACACTAAATGACTTAATATTATTAAAATATTTTAAATGAGTGGATGATCTATGATAAGAGTACTATGATAAGTGTCAGCAATTATTATATATTTATGCTATTCATGTTGGTATTATCTTTGTTACAAAAAAGGGAATTATGTGAGAAGATAATTAGATACTTGCATGGTGGCCCACAGTATAATCTTTATTTCTTTACTGTTACTTTATTGTGTTTTGACAAACTTAACTAAGGTATGACACAGAAGTGAAGTGGTGACTTTGTGTCTTAAGAATGCATTTAATCTGTTTTGTGGAGTTTATTTAGCTGATCTCTGAATTGAGTAGGCAAACTCAGAAACAAAGTTACAAAAAAGATCCTGTTAAGAATAATGGCTTTAGGGATAGCAGAGAAGAAATTGTACTATACTATAAAAACATTTGATTTACCTTTTAAATTTCTTATGGATGTAAGTAAAATCTCATTTTTTAAAAATTGTAACAGAGGTCCTTTTCTATTGAATTGAGTGCCCTACCTAATATAACTGCAGTTGGATCAGTCTCCCATTCTGGTCTCCTTTTTACCTCAAAAATGTTAAATTAACCTTTTCTCCCCATCATTAAAGTACATAAGCATATTAACATAGTATAAACACATTGTTGAGCACAATGTAGCATAAGCATAATCAATTGTTCTGTCAATAACAGAACAACATATTGCCTACAAAACCTTCTCAAGTTCAGGGTTTTACTAGGTGGTATGGGTATTAACCTTCTATAGGTTAACATACATGTTATGCTATGGAAATTTTGAAGAAGGTAGGATGGTGCCTATTGTACACAGTGATTGGCAGGGTATGTATTTAATTTCTTCCAGGGGCCACATTAGTCCAATGACATCCTCATTAACAGGCCAGATTAAAAATAATATTCATTCATTTTTTCATTATTAATATGATACAATTTAATAAAATAAAATTTCAAATAGGAATATCAATGGAAACAATAATGCCATTTTTATCTATGCATTTCGTGAAGAAATGATTATACACGGCTCCAGTGCTATGGAAACCTGCAGACCTTTTGCTATGTGAAAGAGTATTAGGTTAAACCATAAGAAATTGCCATTTTTGTATGTAAATAAAATGTTGAATACGGAGGCTTCCTGTGGCAAGAGGTAAATAGTACCCTTGTGAAAAAGGAGCTCAATTTTCCAAAGCTATTAAAGGAAAGTAGCTAGGTGAAACATTCCAGAATGTAAGATTTTTGCATTTTCCAGTTTCTTTTATTTCTCCAATAAATATCGAATGAGTCTTGGTTCACATTCTTTACTTTAATGTCAATGGTTATGGGAACACACATTATTAAAAGAAAGGAAATGAACAGAAAGAAATTCACAGTGGTGAAAGTCAGGTAAACAGAAAACAATAAAAAATGCAGATTGTTACAAACTTTGTAATCATTTCTGTTTGACAGTGTTTATCTCTTTAAGTGTTTATCTTCTTACCCATTTTTATTTCATTTTTATGTGTCTCATAAAGCTGGATATCACTCAATGTTTAGCTCTTTGGTGTCTGATCATAGAAAGCAGATTGCCCTGGCATTTTTATATACTGTTGGAAAAGAAAGTAATTTTCATCTATTGAGATTTATTATTTGAATATGTTTTTCAATATAGCAAAGCACACCTACAAAATTTAATGTACATGCATATTGCAAGTACACTATAGAAGTATAACATCAGGTAGAATTTTCTGTCTTCTGTTGAAGAGATTGCAGAGAAGCAAGTAGATACACACACTTCTCCCCCCACCTCCACCTCTCCCTTATTGATCAGTGATACAGAGAAAGAATATTACATTTCCCATAAGCCCTCCAAAACGTCCATTCATCACTTGTTGGGCTGGGGGTTGTTCAGGAATGGTAAGTAGTTGAGAAGATGCTGGATCTCTAGTAGAAGAGATTATATTACATGTGGGGGAAAGTTTGATGATTCAAGGAGAGGGAGAATGAATGACTTCAGAGAATAAGGCACACTACAGACCTATTGTTATGGATTTCATTACGAAGTTAAGTTTTATATTCATGAGATATTTGATTTTATAGTCAATTCTATGATTTTCTTCTATCAATGAAGTTTCCCTATGAGAAATTTGACATTGAGAAACACATTAGCTTGGTATTGATAACTTACCTGAAAATTCTTATCATTTGCTTTTCTCTGAAGGGTCCTATGACCTAGTTGGTGATTCACATCACACCTTGTGGTACATGCCTGTTGGGGAGGATGCAAATGAGTAAACTGAGACCGTGTCATAATTTAAAAAGCAATCTCACTCTGAGTCAGCATGTGTACTGCATATCATTAAAATGAGTAGGAAAAAGGAAATGACTGTTGTTCAATCATTGATGGAAAATGTTGCAGCTTTATTATCTATGCATGTTTTAATATCACCTATTGCTGTAACATAAAGGTACTCAAACAAAAGATTGTTTACTAACTCAGAAGTGGTAAAGAGAAATTTCTACTTTTTAAATTTATTTCTTAGCAGCTTGACAGCAGATTGTCAAAGAGAGATAAAGGATTTATATAAGAAAATCAATCAATTAGCAAGATAATTTATATGATGCTTTCTGGTTAAAAATTATGCATCTTTTTAGAATACTAAAAGCTTTATTGGAACCTCTTTTAAAATTATACAGGAAGTAGGAGGTGGTTAGGGGCAGTAGAGATGAGACTGATCGTGACTTTACATTTGTTGAAGCTAAGCATCTCCTTCATCCTTCTTTCTACTTTTACATATGTTAGAATTTTTCCATAATTAAATTTTTTAATCCCAGGATTTAATGATTTCCCAGTAGAAATCTATACCCTATATATGGAAAAAAGAATGTTCATTATGCAAACATATCATAGACTCATAGGCTCTTTATTACTTAAGTTTTTTTTTTTTTTTTTGTACCGGGGATGGAACTCAGGGGCACTCCACCACTGAGCTACATCCCCAGCCCTATTTTGTATTTCATTTAGAGGCAGGGTCTCACTGAGTTGCTTAGTGCCTCACTGTTGCTGAGGTTGGCTTCGAACTCATGATCCTCCAGTCTCAGTCTCCCAAGCAGCTGGGATTACAGGCATGCACCACCATGCCTGGCCCACATAAAATCTTAATTTCTACATTTTTTTTTAAGATGGCCTCTTGCAATTTTCCAAGAGTGAACATCCTCAATGTCTCTAAACCTGTTTCCCACACACCTAAGAGTGATTTGTTATAAGGGGACAAAGGTAATAACCATCTCACTTAATGAAACAAGAGAGATGCCCTGAGCTGTACAATGAGCTGAACTGGAAGATGGGAATTTGGATTAAAGTCATTCTGAGTTAGCAGGTGCATTCTCTTCCACCCCACAGAAGCATAAAGGTTTCAAAGGCTATACTGATATCTAGTTGTTAATTTGGAATCTCAGTGTGTTTTATGAGCATGCCTTGGTACCTGGCCAACTACAAAATGAAAAGAACTGCTCAACATTGCATTGTGAAGAACTAGAACTTGATCCAGTCACTGCTGTTGTTCCTACCAGTCATTAAAGTGCTCTTTAACTAGAAGTCGGCAGCATTGCAAAGAACTGTATCCTGGTTTTCATGGCATATCCATAATGTGTAGGTCCTAAAAGTGAATAAACTTACATCTTCTAATTGTCCATCAATTGGAAAGTAAAGAATGAATATCCCCAGGTCTCTATTCCTTGCTATTACTGATAGGATCTGTGAAAACAAAGTGTTAAACAAACTTCTTTCATTTTGTCTGTAAAATTTATGTTTTTCACTGAAGGTTATCCATTCCTAAATAACTTATATTCTAAGGTCAAAAAATACCATATAAGTTCTAACAGAGATTTATGATAAAATGTTACAAACATAGATCTATTAAGAAACCATTGTCTAAAGCTTTTGGTAGTATGGCCATCCTGACAATATTAATTCTGCCTATCCAGGAGCATGGGAGATATTTCGATTGTCTGAGGTCTTCTTCAATTTCTTTCTTTAGTGTTCTGTAGTTTTCATTGTAGAGGTCTTTTACCTCTTTTGTTAGATTGATTCCCAAGGGGCTTTTTTTTTTTTGAGGCTATTGTGAATGGAGTGGTTTTCCTAATTTCTCTTTTAGTGGATCCATCACTGATGTATAGGAATGCATTTGATTTATAGGTGTTGATTTTATATCCTGCTACTTGGCTGACTTCATTTACTAGTTCTAGAAGTTTTCTGGTGAAATTTTTTGGATCTTCTAGTTATAGGATCATGTCATCAACAAATAGTGATAGTCTGAATTCTTCTTTACCTATTTGTATCACTTTAATTTCTTTCTTTTGTCTAATTACTCTGGCTAGAGTTTCAAGGATGATGTTGAATACAAGTGGTGAAAGAGGATAGCCTTGTATTGTTCCAGGTTTTAGTGGGAATGCTTTCAATTTTTCTCCACATAGAATGATGCTGGCCTTGGGTTTAGCATATATAGCTTTTACAATGTTGAGATATGTTCCTACTACACTTAGTTTTTCTAGCGTTTTGAACATGAAGGTATGCTGTTATTTTGTCAAATGCTTTTTCTGAATCTATTAAGATGATCATATGATTCTTGTTTTTAAGTCTATTAATATGATGAATTATGTTTATTGATTTCCTTATGCTAAATCAACCCTTTATCCCTGGGATAAGTCCCACTTGATCATGGTGCACTGTCTTTTTAATATGTTTTTGTACGCGATTTTCCAGAATTTTATTGAAAAATTT